CATATTGTGGGGTCAGGCTCCAAATTCCTTAATAGGACACCCATAGCACAAGAGTTAATAACAAGAGTCAACAAATGGGACTTACTTAAACTAAAAAGTTTTTTCTCAGCAAGAGAAACAATAAGAGAGGTAAATAGGGAGCCTACCTCATGGGAACAAATTTTTACTCCTCACACTTCAGATAGAGCCCTAACATCCAGAGTATACAAAGAACTCAAAAAATTAGACAATAAAATAACAAATAACCCAATCAACAAATGGGCCAAGGACCTGAACAGACACTTCTCAGAGGAGGACATACAATCAATCAACAAGTACATGAAAAAATGCTCACCATCTCTAGCAGTCAGAGAAATGCAAATCAAAACCACCCTAAGATACCATCTCACTCCAGTAAGATTGGCAGCCATTCTGAAGTCAAACAACAACAAATGCTGGCGAGGATGTGGGGAAAAGGGTACTCTTGTACACTGCTGGTGGGAGTGCAAATTGGTGCAGCCAATTTGGAAAGCAGTATGGAGATTCCTGGGAAAGCTGGGAATGGAACCACCATTTGACCCAGCTATTGCCCTTCTCGGACTATTCCCTGAAGACCTTAAAAGAGTGTACTACAGGGATACTGCCACATCGATGTTCATATCAGCACAATTCACAATAGCTAGACTGTGGAACCAACCCAGATGCCCTTCAATAGATGAATGAATAAAAACAATGTGGCATTTATACACCATGGAGTATTACACAGCACTAAAAAATGACAAAATCATGGAATTTGCAGGGAAATGGATGGCACTAGAGCAGATTATGCTTAGTGAAGCTAGCCAATTCCTAAAAAAACAAATACCAAATGTCTTCTTTGATATAATGAGAGCAACTAAGAACAGAGCAGGGAGGAAGAGCAGGAAGAAAAGATCAACATTAAACAGAGACATGAGGTGGGAGGGAAAGGGAGAAAAAAGGGAAATTGCATGGTAACGGAGGGAGACCCTCATTGTTATACAAAATTACATATAAGAGTTGTGAGGAGAATGGGAAAATAAACAAGGAGAGAAATGAATTACAGTAGATGGGGTAGAGAGAGAAGATGGGACGGGAGGGGAGGGGGGATAGTTGAGGATAGGAAAGGTAGCAGAATACAACAGTCACTAATATGGCATTATGTAAAAATGTGGATGTGTAACCGATGTGATTCTGCAATCTGTATTTGGGGTAAAAATGGGAATTCATAACCTACTTGAATCTAATGTATGAAATATGATATGTCAAGAGCTCTGTAATGTTTTGAACAACCAATAAAAAAACTAAATAAAAAAAATAAAAAAGCAAAAAAAAGAAGAAAACCACACTCAAAAATAGAATAATATAAATAAAAAAATAAGTAAATAGTAAATAAAGTAAATAAGTAAATAAAATAAATAAAAAATAATAAATAAGTAAAAAGCAGTACATAGGGAAATATGTACTAATTCATAATTGGAGGGGGAAATACCTATCTCCATCTGGAATAGACATGGGGCTAAGTTGTTAGGAGGAGATCCAACTTTGTTTTTCCAGATGGCTACCCCCACTTTTTCTGAACCATTTGCTGGACAATCTTTCTTTTCCACACTGCTATGAAGCGACAGATATATTTTTAAAAATCAGGATTTTATGGAAGGTATTTTTCAAACTAGCCCCCATCTATCTCTTGCCTCCACCATGAGTCTTCACTATAGCTTTTAAAACTACTCCTCCTCTCTCTCTCTCTCTCTCTCTCTCTCTCTCTCTCTCTCTCTCTCATTTGGTACTGAGAATTGAACACAAGGGTGTTATATCCCCAAAACTTTTTTTTCCCCTCATTTCAAAATTTTGAGACAGGGTTTCACTCCGTTGCTAAGGCTGGCCTTGAACTTGGAAACCACCTGCCTTGGCCTTCTAAGTCTCTGGGATTTCAGACATGTGCAACTGCCTTGGCTAAAGTTCCTCTTTCTACCTGTTCAAGCACCAGCCACATCTGGGTGACAGCTGTCACCGTGGACCTCTTGGGATACCACTACCACAGCCTTCTAATGAGGAGAAGGGCCAGAGAAGCTACACCTGCTGTTGATCTCAGAATTCACACTTGACAATGCAGCATCATCATGGGGTTGGTGTGATATACTTTGGGAAGGTTCGCCCACTTGTGGTTAGAGAGATGAAAAAGAAGTCTATATTCCTAAGGAGCACAGTCAGTGAGTGTAACCATCACTCCATGATGACAACTGTTCTATTTCATTCTTTTTGTGTGTGTGTACCAGGAATTGAACTCAGGAGCGCTCGACCACTGAGCCACATCCCCAGCCCTATTTTGTATTTTATTTAAAGACAAGGTCTCACTGAGTTGCTTAGTGCCTTGCTTTTGCTGAGGCTGGCTTTGAAATCGTGATCTTCCTGCCTCAGCCTCCTGAGCCACCGGGATTACAGGTGTGCCTTACTGCACCTGGCTATCCTATTTCCCTCTGACAGCACTTGAGCCCTATACATTTCCTTAAGAAAACTGGAAATTTTCATTTACTTGCAAGTCAACACAGGAGAGGAAGTACAGCATATTGACCAAGAGATAGGAAACCCATTTTCTAGTCCTGATATGACCTATGTATCAGGAGGCCAACTTAAATTTACTTGAACCTCAATTTCCTGCATCATCTGTGGAAGGTAGTTAGACTATGTGATCTCTTGGCTTCCAGTAGGTAGAAATTTGTTATTCAATAATAATATGATTCCTTTATTTATTAATGTAAAACTTTTTAACAGATAAGTTAAGTCCTTGCTATATGCAAAGAATTCTTCTGGACACAGATGAATAAGACACAGTCATTATGTTGTGAAGCTTATTAAGAAAGGAGTTTATTTGGAAGAGGGAAGTGGAATGGAACAGATCAGTGTGACTTGAATGTAGAATACACCAGTATCCCTATTCCAAATTGGAATACAGTCTCTGTGATGTACCATAACTCCATGCTAAGGCTTATTTTAATGATTCTGGTTGATGTCAAGGCCTCCTTGAGGGTTTGTATAGTGATAACACACTGCATGGAGGTGGTAGTTCATAAATCTTTTTTTCTAGTTGTGGCCACTAGAGTCATTGTAGTTTTTGTCTTTTTGTTGTTGTTTGTTTGTTTGTTTTGGTAAGATCCTTTCTTAAGACCAACTCCTAACAGTATTTTGAAGCCGTGCCTAGAAGCAATAGAGGTTTCATGATGCCACCTCTCTTTCTGTTTTAAAGAATACAACTCTTTCCAATGATGTTTTCTTTTTCTTAATTTAGATTCTCCATCCCAATAACTCACCAATTCTGTACAAGGGATGTGTTTAAAATATTTTAAATTAATGGCTTTAGAAAGGTGAGTTTGGGCTAGGATGGAGGAAGACAAAGAAGCACTTGGGGGCTAGAGAATTTCTTTTTTTTCAAAGTTCAAGATGAAAAGTTACCCAACATCCTGTTGGAGATCAGTGGGAAAGAAGAATCAGTTGGAACCTTGAAAGTCGGGGGGAAAAAAAGGATAACTTGAGTAATGGAGACCCAGGAGTACATGTCATTTGAAAAAAATGAGGCCCAGGGGAGAATAAGAGTGTCTTAACAACAAAGCAACAGATCGCCCACTTGTTATTCAATCCCTGCTTTTCCATGCTGAAAAGTGATAGTATGGAACTGAAACATGGTATAATGAACTTAGTGGGAGTGTCAAAGTGGTCAGACTCTGAAGAAGGGCATTATGAATCTCATTTTCTGTTTTCTAGCACACAGCAAGTAGAGGTGGTAAGAACTGACTCATGAGCACATGTCCGGGTGAATTAACAACATTGTCATAGTCACAGTGGATACTGCACACAATCTCCATGCTAGAAATTTATTTTTCATAGGAAAAATGTCTGCTCATTTAATATCTTTTCAGTAAGAATGGACAGCGAATAAGGAGTTTGAGAAGGCCTAGCTGGACATTTTCAAAAGGCAAAAATAAGTAAGCAAAATTATATTTATACTAAGGTGTAATTCTCTCCAGCTACTTTATAATGTAATAGCCTCCTGAGTCAACTTCCAATAAGAATGTCATTTTAAATGTTTCCATGATAGCAGATGGGTGAGTACTGTGGTCTGCAGGGCAGAGCAATAAATATAACTCTGATAACCAATCCATTGTCTATCTAAAGGCAAGGACTATTTCATTGGAATAGTTCTCATGTTTTGGGGTTGAATAAAATCAAAAGAAAGTACACAGTACCTGTGAAAGAAATAGAATGTTTAGCCTGTGGTCAAGCAGAGAAAAAGACTTACTGAGTAAAGCAATATATATTCCAATTTTCTTGTTTTAGTTTTCAGTTAGTTTCTATTAGTGCAGTTTTCCAAAAGATGTGGACCATGTTTTCAATTCAGATATTACTACAGATCACTATAATTCAAATTTCTTTGCTGGTTTTTCACCAAATAATCCCAACTTCCAGCCTACAACCAATATTTTTTTTTTTTTTAAAGAGAGAGTGAGAGAGAGAGGGAGAGAAAGAGAGAATTTTAATATTTATTTTTTAGTATTTGGGGGACACAACATCTTTGTTTGTATGTGGTGCTGAGGATTGAACCCGGGCCGCACGCATGCCAGGCAAGCGCGCTACCGCTTGAGCCACATCCCCAGCCCTACAACCAATATTTTAAATGGTTTCCTGATGCTATTTACATACAATAACCAACTCTCAAAATGATAACACCGTTAGGAACAAATATTGTCAGAATGCAGTGGATGGCTTTCGTAGAGAGAGATTCAATAAAACTTTGGGGTCGATGATGAACCTAGTGTACAGGAATTCCACATTAAGTCATAATTGGCTTTGTGCTGAGAGAGTACATGTCAATTGAAGAAATGAGGCTCAGGGGAGAGTAAGAGTGTCTTAACAACAAAGCAACAGATCGCCCACTTGTTATTCAAAACAATAGAACCACAAGAAGGGCTTCTCGAATCCCAGAACAGAAGTGTAAATTTGCCAGGATGTCCATTCTTGACAAAATGTCTACGGCAGATTTGATGGAGAATCTCAGGGAAGAACTCACCTGCTTCATCTGCTTGGACTATTTCAGCAGCCCAGTGACCACTGAGTGTGGACATAGCTTTTGCCTGAGGTGTCTCCTTAAGAGCTGGGAGGAACAAAACACACTTTTATCTTGTCCTGAGTGTTGGAGGACTTTGGGGGGCCCTCATTTCCAGCCCAATGAGCGACTGGGGAGACTGGCTAGCATCGGCAGGCAGCTCAGATCCCAGGTGCTGCAGAATGAGGAGGAACCAGGCACCTGTGGGAGACTATCCTCCACTAGAGTGTTCTCTGATGATGAGCAGAGTGTAAATGTTTTTGCAAGCCAGAGTCATGGAATAAACAGAGTGTATCTCTCGAGTGAGGCTGAGGAGCAACACAGAGTAAGATTGGCTGCTCAATATTAATCTAGGACCAATCAGGCTCCCAGGCATCTTCTTGTTATTAGTTTTCACGTCTCTTTACAACTTGGTGCTCTGCTCATTAGCCACTGAGTTTGTCTTTATTGCAGGAGAAACTCCAGGAGATCCTAAGTCTTCTGCGTAAAAAGAGGAAGGAATCTCAGGCTATACTGACCCACGAGAGGGAGAGAGTGATATTGTGTAAGGTCAGTATTTGTCTTATTTTTATGCTTGTGTATGATCCTTTGAGGAAGGCTATAGAGATACATGGTGAAATGTCAGAGAGCCATAAGGCAATTGTTTCTGGTCCTGGTCCCACAAATTGAGTTTCTTACTTTTTTTTTTAATTCTTTTTTTTATTATTAGTTGTTCAAAACATTACAAAGCTCTTGACATATCATATTTCATAAATTGATTCAAGCAGATTATGAACTCCCATTTTTACCCCGTATACATATTGCAGATTCACATCGGTTCCACATCCACTTTTTTACATACTGCCATACTAGTGTCTGTTGTATTCTGCTGCCCTTCCTATCCTCTACTATCCCCCCTCCCCTCCCCTCCCCTGAGTTTCTTACTTAAGGCTGCCCACCTCTGCTTGTCCACTTGGCAATCTCACAATCCAGCTCAAGTTCAACCTCCCGCAGGCAGACTTTTTTTTTTTTTTTTTTTTTTTTTTTATCTTCTTTGTGCATCTAGACAATTTTGGTTACCTCTATTATGGCTCTGATTATAATTATCAAAAAAAGCACACGTTATACTTACAGTCATATAATATAGGATGGAAATAAATTTTAAAAGAAATGTCTCAAATGTTTTTAGGAAAAAAAAAAGAGAGAGAGAGAGAGAATGCAAATTAAAAGTAATTGAAGAGAGGCCAGGCACAGTGGTGCTCGCCTGTAATCCCTGCGGCTGGGGAGGCTTGTGAGTTCAAAGACAGGAGGATTGTGAGTTCAAAGCCAGTCTCAGCAACAGCAAGGTGCTGAGCAACTCAGTGAGACCCTGTCTCTAAATCAATTACAAAATAGCTCTGGGGATGTGGCTCAGTGGTTGAGTGCCCCGAGTTCAATCCCCAGTACAAAAAAAAAAAAAAGTACATGAAGATAAAGGAATGTAAATGCAGAATAGTAGCTTGAATTAAACCTGAATAAATACCTAAGCTTAATCACTGATTCAGATTTGAGTTGCCTAGCAGTTAAAGCAAAGAACTACATACTTAATTAGATCTAAAAAATATATATATGGGTGTTTAAACCTCCTAATAGAGTTTGAGTTCTCTTTTTTTTAGGGGGTGGGTACCGGGATTGAACTCAGGGGCATTTGGCCATTAAGCCACATCCCCAGTCCTATTTGGTATTTTATTTAAATACAGGATTTCACTGAGTTGCTTGGTGCCTCAATTTTGCTGAGGCTGGCTTTGAACTTGCAGTCCTCCTGCTTCAGCCTCCTGAGCTGCTGGGATTACAGGCATGTGCCATTGCTTCTGCAGACTTTGAGTTCTGAAGTACAAATATTTGTGATGTACATTTCTATGTCTAGTATGTGACCAAATGCCTAGTTTCATTGAATAAGTATCTGTCGAATAAATGAATACTTGCATTTTTCACAAGTTTCTCTTTTGTTAATTTTGCTTTATTTTTTAAAAAAATCATAGTACTGATTATCACCTGTCATGTTTTTATTTGTTTGTTTGTTTGCTTGTTTGTCTTTGGTTTCCTCTAGTAGAATGATAGCTCCTGGGAACAGAAGTTTTGCTTTTGATTTTATTGTGTGTGTTGCATGTACATCTTTGAAAACATTAAACTTTCCACGGAGCTAGTCAATAGAAGATGTGTCTTATGTACAAGGTTTCAAGAATTGTTACTGTAGGACTCTGTAAGGATTAAAAATCTGTGGACATCTAGGAGTGTTTCTGTTACTAATTTTCTTATATTGTCTGTGTGTGTGCCTGTGCACCTGTGTGATGCCAGGAAGAGACAAAAACTTGTAAACAGGTTGTTGTGTCAGAATATATGAAAATGCACCAGTTCCTGAAGGAGGAGGAACAGCTCCAGCTCCAGCTACTAGAAAAGGAGGAAAGAGAGAACATGAAGAAACTGAGGGACAACGAGATCCAGCTCACCCAGCAAATCAGAAGCTTAAGCAAAATGATTGGACAGATAGAGTCTACATGTCAGAACTCAGCTTTTGAATCTTTTGAGGTGAGAATAAAATTCAGGAGAGTGTTAGAAGAATTAGTGTTGGGTCTGTAGCCCAGTGTTAGGGCATTAGCCCAGCATGCATGAGGCCCTGGGCTTAATCCCTAGAACTGAAAAAAAAAAATAGTCATAGAAATATTTTTCTCTATCTACCTAAAAACTAAGTTCTGCTTTAAAAGTTATTTCCCCCAAAGAACTGACATTCTATATGTCAGTAAAAGTATTGAAAAGGAGGAAGAAGGAAAAAAAAAATCTACCCAAACAAACTCTTCTGTGTCTGCCTCCTTGCAAGCTCAGCTTTGTCAAATACTTTGTTAAGTTTATTAATGAGGATTTACTATGTCCTGAGCACACTAAATATAATCTTCTCCAAGACCTGACGAAGATAAATAGTATTGTGATATAGACTATAGATGATTGTCATCTACAAAATGGGTGCATAATAGCACTTATTTAATAAGGTAATTTGCGTTTAAAACAGCTAATAGGTGGCAAGACCTAGGTATTCTGTGTGCTCAAACCATTTTCCTCTCCATCGTTGCTCTTCTGCCTTCCTAGGCATTCTCCAGAACCTTCTCCAATGTAAGCCAGGTGAGCCAACACCAGCTTCAGGTCTGTTTCTTGGACTGGTCCACAGGATGCTACTATTTAATTTTGTGCCCTCAAAAAAAAAAACAAAACAAAAAACAACAATAAAAAAGCACTTCGACTTCACATAGATTGTCTCAGCTCTCATTGGGCCATTTCCCTTTTTTAAAATTTTTTTTTAAATTTTTTCTCATCTCTGCCTCCCTGAGGCATCAGATAATGAGACTGCTATTTGACTCCTTTGTTGACAACAGGTTCTTTGACAAAGTGATGTTATGAGTAAAAGAACAAAATATGTAATCTCACTATGTTTGTGAGTCATTTGTCTTCAGAAAAACAAAACAAAACAAAACAAAATATTTTTAATCACTGTGAGAAACATCTCATTTTCACCAAAAACTACCCCTAGAAGAAACTGGTGTTTTATTTTTTGTTTTTTCCGTGTCCTATGTGCTTCTTCTCAGAGTGCGCTGGGACCATGGGAAGTGGTTTCTGTGACCTTTTGCAAAGGACAATGTCTAAAATGAACTCATCTTTCCTGGTGGTCAAAATGAACCAATGCTAACCTTTTTTCCTTTTATACCCTTAGGAAATAAGAGGAGCCCTGGAAAGGTAGGTTTCGGTCACACGTTCAGTTCCATCTTGGACGGGGCTATGACACTGATGAAATGGATCGGGGGATGACATAAGTCATCTATGCTGTGGGGGCTAGATGAGATGGACTCTCAAGAGGGACCAGGTCCTGTGTCAAGGAGAGAGAGAGTGAAGGTCTCTGCTCTCTTATAGGAGCGAGTCACTCCTGCTTCAGTGTCCAGAGGCCACTGCCACAGAACTGAGTCTGTGCCACATCACTGGAATGAGGGAGATGCTAAGAAAATTCAGCAGTAAGTCAGCCTGATTTGCCAAACCTCCAGGGACTTCCACCTTTAACTTCAGTCTATGTTAAGGGATGCAGAACCCATCTCTTGGGCAGCTTTGTCCAATATAAAATATTCACCAACCAATGTTAGATTCTAAGTGCAGTTATCCTGACCCTGTACTAAACACCAGGCTGGGGGCCACAGACCATGTCAGTGCTTGATCCGAGAGAAGAAGTGAGACTTGATTCTATCTGGCTTTGTGTTCTATCTAAGGACTCCTCGTCCTTCCTTTGTTTCTATTGTTCTGGGTTGTCCATCCACAGGTTATCCATCCCCTGTGCATGCACATATATACCTCTCTGCAGAAGTTTCTGCATTTCTAGCTCTGTTTTGTTAGAATAAAAACTGATTTAAACTTTTAAATCCCAGTGAGGGAACATTAAAAACTATTCTCTTAACATGCTCCATATATTTAGATTGGCTGAGACCAAGTCAGATCAGCATTAATTTTCAGTTTGATCTTGTGGACAATCTGAATTCAAAGACAGGCTTAATGAACTTTGGACTCAACAGATATCTGATAAGTGTCTGCTCTGTGCCCAGTACTATGCTATTGAGCTCTGAGCTTGCTCACAATGATGAATAAGACTAAAATTGTCTTTGCTTTCATAGAATCTTCTGTACAATTGAAGGGTTAGACATTCGTCACGCAGATAAGTAGATCTGATTGGACTTTAGTTCATAAATAAAAGTATAAAGTTGTATTATACTGTCTGGAGAGTTAGTGTAAGTTGGAAGCCTCTCTGTGACCTCCTCCCAGGAGGCTGGGAGAGGAGGCTTCCCAATGGCCCACAGTGTGCTTCATTAAAATGTCACTGGAAGTTTCACTAACTCTTATGAACCTACATTCGAACATGTTATAATGGAGAATACTGATTAGGAATTCCTATTTACGTGTAAGTGTCATTTGACGGAGTTTCCAAATCTTTATGAACCTTAGTTTTCTTTTTCACATAAATGAGAAAAGGTAATAATACCCATATGATCAAATGAGATAATGCATAGAAACTGATTGGCATGTTAGAGAGAGTTTAGTAAATGATAATTGCCTATATTTCTTTCTCATCCAAACTGAAAAACCAGAATCAAACATGGTTAACATGAATAAAAGCTGCAAAGGGGCATCCTGTTGTGGATAAAGGGTTCTGAGTTCTAAACCTATCTGGTAAACAGAACAATTTCCATTCCTCTATTTAGAGTTTCCTCTCTCCCTCTAGGGTGGGCTACTCATCTTTCTCCATCTGACTCTTGTCTGCTTCTTTTTGGAGATTCGCTGTTAGTTTTGCAGAACAATGAAATGAGCCCAGAAATTCTGTTGTAAACACAATGCTCTCTTACATTGCACTTAAAGAATAGGAGTAAATACTAAGAATGAGTACCACGTTTGGAGGATGGTTTTCAAGAATGCTAAGGGAAAATTCATTCTTTTCTCCTTTTGCAGCAGAGATAACTCTGGACCCAGCAACTGCCAATGCCTATCTAGTCTTGTCTGAGGATCTGAAAAGTGTGAGATATGGAGGAATCAGACAGCAGTTACCTGACAACCCAGAAAGATTTGACCAGTCTGCGACGGTGCTGGGAGCTCAGTTCTTCACCCACGGAAGACACTATTGGGAGGTGGAAGTGGGAAACAAGACCGAGTGGGAGGTGGGCATCTGCAAGGACTCCATGAACAGAAAGGGAAACCTGCCAAAGCCCCCTGGGGACCTCTTTTCACTTATAGGTTTAAAAATTGGAGAGGATTATAGTCTCTGGGTCTCATCACCTTTGAAAGGGCAACATGTCCAAGAGCCTGTGAATAAGGTTGGTGTTTTCTTAGACTATGAATCTGGACACATAGCATTCTACAATGTGACAGACGAGTCCCTCATCTACAGCTTCCCTCCAGCCTCTTTCCAAGAAGCTCTCAGGCCTATCTTTTCCCCTTGCCTCCCAAATGAAGGGACAAACACAGACCCTCTTATCATCTGCTCACTGAAGAGCCACATCTGAGGGACAGGTCCCTGTGCTTCCACTGAGGATGAGGTCTGGGACCACCAGATGACTAATCACTAAGATGATTAATGCATGAAAGTCTTCACATCAGGTCATCTGAAAGAAAATCCCACCCCCACACCCCTCCACAAAGAGTTTCTATGAACCTGAGACCGCAATGAAGAACCAATTAGAAAATCAACACCAGTAACAGAAAGTTAATCATATCCTGTGTCTTTAACCAAATTCATTATCTGGACTACCCCGTGTATGTGCTGGTCTCTCAAAATACAGAGAGAACTAGCCCCTGTCACCCCAAATCAATTGTCATAGGCCAGTTTTTATAAATATATGTCTTTTTTTTTTCTAGTGTATTTATTTATTTGACTCAAACCCCTTGCAGTTTGAATGTGTCTCTGTCCTCTGTGCAGAGCCCTGCTAGTCGGGGTAATTAAAATCCCTTCAGGGACCTGGTGCCTGAGTGTTCCCTTCTAGGGTGGGTGACAGGGATCCAGGCCTCAGCCTCCTGTGAGGCTGGAGTATTTGTACACAGGAAGGCTTATGTGTTCAGAATGCTGCTAAGATCTGTGTGAACACCATCAGATCCTTCAAGGTACCAGAATCACCAGAGGCTGGAACCTTCTGTTGTTTGTTTACATTAGAAGATGACATAGCAAAGTCTCTATTCAATAAACGTATCATGGCAATGAATACCGAGTGACTTCACTGAGTTTTATATAGTTGTTGTTTTCTGTGGTTTTGCTATTTGCTATGGGCAGAAGGCTTTCAAATCCTGGAAACACGAGGCAAGTCCAACCTCCTGTCCTAGTGTCAGGGAAGGGGGGCGGTGTCCAAGCACAGGCTGGTATCAAATCTCCTCCTGGTGGAGGTCTGAGTTCATATCCCCCCTCCCCGGCCTCCCCATTCTTAGTGGTCTATCTCAGTAGGATTTTTTTTTTATTGGAATTCTACCTTGCTTACTTTGAAAAATGTCACCAATCACAAAAGGTGTCCCTGTATCTCCTCTTACCACTCATATAAGTCTGTGTCCTAACAGAGAACACTGCTGATAACGTTTAACCACCATGTGTGTGTAATTACTAAGATTTTTCAGGAAGAAAACTTATCACAGATTTTTATTCTCTTTGGTTCTTTGTATTCTCCATTTGGGTTTTCATCCTGTTATCACATACCCTTAGAATCACAGAACTGGGGTTGGGCACAATGGCACATCCCTGCGATATAACCATACCAGTGACTTGGAGGCTGGGTTGAGAGGATTGAAAGTTTGAAGCCAACCTCAGCAATTTAAAATTAGAAATAGAAAAGACTGGAGCTGTAGCTCAGAGGTGGAATGCCCCTGGGACCAAACTCAGCCTTCATAGATAATCTCTGGCTCTACATCCCATTATCCCATTTTTTTAATAAGATGGATTTTATTTCATAAGTATTTACCTCTAAAATCTAAGAAAATAATCTTAAAAAGCAAACTCCAAATATTTGGTATGCATCTTCCTTAATTTCAGAAAACATAGGAGGTTATTTTTTTGCTTTTTGGTTGTTTTTTTTCTTTTTCTTTTTGTAAATGAATATATATTATGTTTATTGTACATTACATTTAATTGTAGTAGCTCACAGTTCCTTTTCCTCCTCCACCTCTTCCTCTTCTTTCTCCTTTCTCCTCCTCCTCCTTCTTTTCCTCAAAGAGTTATTATCAAGGAAATCAGCCCATTTTCCTCTGGCAAAAGCATCCTGAGTGGGTCTTTCTTGTACCATTGTCTACACTGGATCTGCCACAAGCTGAGTAGCTGGAGGAGATTGAATCTATACTCCTCGTACTTTTCCGAGTTTGCATGAGCAATCATGGAAAATGTGCAAGAAACAGTTTGCTCTAGGCTTCCACGTAGAAACTCCAAACCAAACAAAAGAGGATGGAGGAGAGCAAGGCCAAAATGGAAAACGGAGAGGCGTGCTGCTTTGCTTGCTAAAGTCACCCCCTGACACCATTCAAAGCCTTGGTCTGCTGGCTAGTACTTGGAATATGAAAGATGTCCCACCTGGCGCCTGACATTCCTCAAGCCATCTCCTCCTTACCTCCTCTTCCCCTGTCAACTTCTAGCCTTCTCCCTGTAATATTCGTTTTCCTTCCACTTCTTCACTCAATGGTTTATCCAAGTGACAGCGATTTACAAGTGGCTGTTTCTTCAGTGGACGTTACAAAAATGGAATACAGAATCATAGGCTTTTCTTCTCTACTTCTCCAAAACTAGCTAGAAAAGAAGGAGTATGTCTAGTCTTGAGGATTAGGTATATCAAGAATGTTCTCCATATTAGATTACAGTTCAACTACTTTGTTTTCTGAATTTCTTTGTTCTAGAGCACTTTAGAAATAAATATAACACATCTCTTGTTCTGAAATTTCATTGAACTATAAAACATCATTTTTCTAATAAGATTTCTACTCTCTTGCTCAAATGATCTCCTTCCCGACCCCCACAGTGACAGAACTTCAACCTTTTATGCTTAGAAAGTATTAGTACCCCATCTGACTTTGGTTACTTTACAGGGCCCTCATGCACTAATTTAATTCAAGAATGTGCTCAATCTGTCTTTCCATATTCTTGAATTTTTTTTGTGTGTGTGTGTGTGTGTACTTGTTTCTTGAAGTGATGGGAACTGAATAATAGGACACAGACAATTGCAAGAATGCTGAAATATGCAACAGATGAAATAAAATCACATCCAGTCTTACTAATTGATACAACTATACTTATATTCAGATCTATATTATGTGTTTTTAATTTTTGGCTTTTTATGTATGCATTTTAAACCAAATGAAAATTAATATCACCTTAGTATTAATAGCAAACTTTCTTCATGTCATTAAGTATTTTTCTGAAAAAAATATGACATTTTTCTTCCCTAAATATATAAGTACATAATTTTTTAAGAAAAAGCACATTTTGTAGTCTACATTTGTCATATCCAAATATTTACAGTTAATAGATTATATAATGATATTATCTAGTTAACAGTCCATATTAAAGTTATCCCACTGGCCCTTATAATGATCTTCATGACTGTTTTTTAGTCTTCCAGAATTCAGGAATAATATAGGAGCAGGCATTGAATTTTATTGTCTGGGAAAACATGTTTGGTTTTTTTAAAACATATTTTTTAGTTGTTGATGGACTTTTATTTTATTTATTTATATGTGGTGCTGAGAACTGAACCCAGAGCCTCACACATGCTAGGCAAGCGCTCTTCCACTGAGCTACAACTAATAGGAGTAATATTTCATTATATGACGCTTCCGAATTTATTTAAACATTTCCCTACTGTGGAATATTTAGATTGTTTTCTATTTGTAGCTATTATAAATGACACTGTGATGAACACAAGTGTACACAGACCTTCGGGTGTATCTCTATTATTCCCCAAGTATATCTCCAGCAGGCAGGAAAGAGCCTCACAGATCTAGCCGCTGTGTGCCTGTAGGTGGCACATCCTCCTACAACAGTTCTGCAAGCACTGCAGGTGGCCCTAAAGGTTTTACTCATTAAAAGGGCAGACACAGGAGCTTAGAGACAAGTGAAAGAACATGTTCTTCTCTGCCCTATGGTCTTGCCAGAAGCACTGCATTTATACCAAAAAAACAACTATTCTCGGAGGAATTAGAGCAGTGCCGGGGTTTTGAAATCAGTCAGTTGTTGGTTTGAACGTCTAACTTCACCACAAAGCAGGTCTCCTAACTTTCATGCATCATTTCAATTCTCAGAACCTTAGCTGTCTCTTCTCAAAAGCGTAGAAAATAGTGACTAGCTGTGATGATGATGCGAGTCCACACAAAATCAACACTTGAGGCAAGATGAATTTTTGTTAGTTCTCTCTTCCCCCTTTAAAGATTCAATTTTGTAATTCTTCAGAAAGGGGATAAAAAATCCATAGGATGCTTATATAGGATATGACGCCAAAATCTATGAAATATTCTCAAGGTAGGTGTTACTATTTTAGCCAGAAAAGTTTAACACAAAATTCAGTTGGAGAAAAAGAAAACCTCTATGGATTATTTTCTCATCTTTCATGCAAGTTCTTTTGACCTTGATGCCTGTAAGCATCCCATTTACCTAACTTTAAAAATCCACTAATATAATAAATAGTAAATAAATAAAATTGTACATTTTTGGGGGGGTGGGGTAAGGATACTAGGGATTAAACCCAGAGGAACTTTACCACTGAGCTATAACCCCAGGCCTTTTTATTTTTTTGAAACAGTACTAAGTTGCTGGCCTCAAACTTGCAATCTTACCATCTCACCCTCCTGAGTCACTGGTATTTGACAGGCATGTACCACCACATCTGGCATAAAGTTGAATATTCCCAGTCTTGTGAATCTCACACTTTTGCTTTGGGCTTCTGGAACAAGGTATAAACTTAGCTAATCTTTGGTTCTGCAAGTGCTTGAGATACTATAAACAAATGAATAGGTTGATGCAGTCTTTTATAACCACTGTGCTTCATTCAAAGGTGAGCTAATAGACTAGAGGTATTTTGAGATAATGATCCCATCAAACCTGTTGGGGTGGTCACTACCTGTAACACTCTCACCTACCTCTCCTTCAAAGAGAGATATAGAGAGTTACTATTGCCTGGGATGTTCTTTCATAGCTTTCTTATTGACAGCTAGCTCACAGGATGAAACAAGGTTTTGTGAGACCTGAAGCTTATACACAGTGGAAGAGTCCTCTTTAAAAAAAATAATAAAATATTACAAATGATAAAATCAGGTCCAGGATCTTAAACAAATGAGGGGCCTGAGATCCAAGTTTCATTAGCTTGCCAGTATATCTGTGTCAGGGATAGCCAGATGCAAGGATGAAGTGCAAAGGGAATCAAGCCACATCTCCTAGGTTCAAATCCCGGCTCCACCACTTATTAACCACACCACCTTGGGCAAGTTAACTCCTTGTGTCTCAGTTTCCTCATTAGTAAAAAGGGTTTGAAAATAATATGTGCCT